ATTTATCAATATCAAACTGAATAATTTTGAATAGAAATAAACATAAAAACAAAAAAATTTCGAGCAAAAAAAGTTAAGAAACAAGTAAAAATGAGCCTTTTTCATTATGGAAAAATGATTTTTTCTAAGCTGAAATTTTTTAGAAACATTTTCTTTAGCAAATTCTATACCATTTTTTCGCGCAATTCAAACAGTTTGGAATTAAAAGCTCTCAGACTACTAACTCACTTTCTTCACTCCTTCCAACTTTTTGCATTCGTTAGAGCTCAGTCATTTCTTCTCAAAAAACAGCAAATTAGAAACTATAATAATTTAAAATTTACTTCAGCTCAAATTCAAAATTTGACACTTTCTGAGAAAATTTTTCTAAACTGGGAATTTAATAGTTCCACAAACTGTAAAGCGAAAGGTATGAATAAAAAACGGGTAAAATACACTGTAAAGAAATGTTCCAACAAAACAAAAAAAAACTCTTATTTTTCGCGAAACAATTATTTTTTCATTCAGCTATTTACTTACTTACTTTTTTTCTTAGCAATTTATTCGTTCTCAGCAATTTTTAAACTGTTCACTTATTTCACATCGAACATTTATTAATCAAATTTTTTAAAACCGTCAACTGATTTTTTCCAACTCTTTCAACAGTTCTTTACCTCATTATTTTTATTTTTTGCATTCACATCGGCATTATTTTCAGCCAAAATCCTCACAATTTCTGTGCGTCCGTTCTCCGCTGCCCAATGCATTAAAGTTACCTGAAAAAAATGCATCTGAATAATTTCTGCAGATTAAATTTTTTGTCGATATTTGAGTTCAGTTTTTTCTCCCCAAAAAACGGTGAATTTCGAAACGGTACAAATTGCGAAACATTTCCTTTATTAAATTTTAAAATTTCTTTCTTTTTCTTAAAATTTTTTCACAGATTTTTTGAGTATAAACGTTAGATTAAATTAGAATTTTATAATTTTTTTTTTCAGAAAAATATAAATAAAAAAACGGGTAAAATGCACAATAAAAAAATATTCTGACAAAACAAAAAAATTTTTATTTTTTTGTGAAACAATTATTTTTTCATTCAGTTATTTACTTACTTTTTTTTTTTTTGTTCAGTAATTTATTCGTTCTCAGCAGTTTTTAAACTGTTCACTTATTTTACATCGAACATTTATTAATCAAATTTTTTAAAACTGTCAGCTGATTTTTTCAAACTTTTTCAACAGTTCTTTACCTTATCTGAATCTTTTGCATTCAAATCGGCATTATTTTCAACCAAAATCCTCACAATTTCTGTGTGTCTTTTCTCTGCTGCCCAATGCATTGGAGTTTTCTGAAAAAATGCATCTGAATAATTTCTGGAAATTAAAGTTTATGTCGCCATTAAAATTCAGTTATTTTTCTTCAGAGAATTAAAAACCGTAACAGTCGAATGCTCTCTTCAGCTAAATTTTATAATTTTTTTCACGAAAATTTTTCAGATTGATTATGAGGTAATTTTTGAAAACGTTAAATTACATTGAAATTTTTTTATTTTACTCTTTAAGCTTTTTTTAATTTTTAGTTTTTTCACAAAATAATTTAAATAAGAAGAAATGTGTAAAAGTGCACAGTAAAGAAATATTCTGAGAGAACTACAAAAAAAGTTATTTTTTTAATGAAATAGTTATTTCCCTTTTTACTTTTCTCTTTTTTTTTCAATTTTTTATCAGTTATTTCAATCTTTTAAGCGCTTTTTTACACCGTAATTTATGGTATATGAAAAACCAAAATTGTATATGTGCTAATTTCGCTGTTCCTCATTGAATAATTTTTCAAATCATAAGTCGTTCTTTGCCTTTTTTGCTCTTTTACAGATTCTTTTAGCAGATGCTAAGCGTTAAACGCTAAGTTCTGATTATTATGAATAAACTTTACTTCTTCTCTATTTTTTGACTTTCTATCTGCTCAGTTCTCAGCTAAATAGTCTTTTTTTTGCTTGGTTTGGAGACTTTTGTCTTTATAATTATCTCTATCTGCCCGTTAAAAGCAATGTGGGTTGTCGAATTTTGTCATTTTCCTTTATCATTTGATTTTTTCTTTCCTGTTTATAGTCATATTCTTTTTGAAAGCAGTAAGTAATTTTAAGTTTTCTGTCTAATTATTTACCCCATCGTCATCTTTGATAGTGACATTGACTCCATAGTTGACAAAAAATTGAACGATCTCCGGATGTCCGAATTCAAAAGCTATAAACAATGCCTTCTCCTGAAGCAAAAAGAATTTCAATGTATCAAATCAAAATTGATTTTAAACCAAAGGAATGCATAGCGATGCATTTATCTTCAACGTTCATTTTATTTCCTTTTCTTTAACCAAAAAAACCTTATCAGCGCTGATCGAAGTCAAATTAAAAAGTTATTTTACTGTATGAAAGCATTGTTTAAATAAATAGAACTGCTTCTGTGACAATGGTTTATTAAGACTTTGAATCACTGTTCATGAGACCATTCCTTGCACTTTACAAATATTGCTTCAGTTTATTACGCTCACTAAAATGGTTAATTTTTTCGAACGAGGTCTTCACAGGCAAACAGAGCAGTTTCTTTTTTTTTCGCCATCAAAGTAAATAAAGGAATACGGAGCAGAAACAAACATTTTTTATAGATACTAACCATTGCTTTCTTGATCTGACCCTCATCAGAGCCCTTTCTGTGCTCGTCTATCAAACGGCAGATGCTTTCCAAGTCTCCTTTTTTTGAGAGCTCGCAAAGCTGTTTGATATAGGGAAATCCCATTTTGAAAACCCAGTCAACAGCAGAAGAAAATTCGTTAAATAACTGAAAACGAACAACGTCAAAATAAGAACAA